GCTAACATTGTTATCTTTTTACAAAAAACAGCTGAACATGAGAGGTTTTTGGACCAATTTTGTGTTCTCCATTCTTTAAGCACCGGTTTGAGCACCGTTTAAGCACCGGCACCGTTTCAAAAGTACCGGTTTGGCACCGGTATCGGATAAAACCTAAACGATACCCATCCCTACTCGTAACAGGATTGACTTCTGGATGGTGCAAACTAATTGTGTAGATGACGTAGATGACACTCTGACAGTATTCTTTGTTCCCATTGGTAGCTGTTGCAGTGATGAGCCACAGAAAGCGACGCAGTGCTAATGTTTCACAAAGTCAACCATGTGGAGAGCTGTCAGCCTGAAGTCTGGATCTAGCGTCGCTAAGTTCTTGACCTCTAATGTTCTGCTTCTAAATTCAGATAAAACTGAGAGAGAATCCTCCCTTAGTTATGCTGCAATAGGTGTAGGCTGCTGGGGGAATCCCATGATGCACTGGGTGGTTCTTCTTCACTCACTGTGTGTTAATAGACCTCTCTGCACTGAATCATACTTGTTATTAATCTCTGTCTCTGTTCTACAGCATTTCTTTTATCCTGTCTTCCTTCTCTCCCCCCAACCGCAGCAGATGGCCGCCCCTCCCTGAGTCTGGTTCTGCTGGAGGTTTCTTCCTGTTAAAAGGGAGTTTTTCCTTCCCACTGTCGCCAAAGTGCTTGCTCATAGGAGGGTCAAATGATTGTTGGGTTTTTCTCTGTATGTATTATTGAAGGCTCTACCTTACAAGGTAAAGCATCTTGAGGTGACTTTTGTTATAATTTGGCACTGTATAAAAATCACCGAGTCAGCACAAAAAACTGAATTGAATTGAGGCTTCCGCACAGACTGACTTGGAGGGCTACACCATGAACGTCATAAGTGTTTCAAGAAACATCAGCTGGATGGTCCACGCTTCGTGATGAACCCCTTCCGTGATGCTTTGATGGTTTTGGGTCAGACCTCAGAGCGTCGTTACAAACTGTCAGCTCAGCAGATTCCCTCGGTCCTCTTTGTGTCGGCTCGTCTTTGGTCTGCATCGGTGTCAGAGGTGTTTTCTCAGCTTCGGTCTGGCTGCTCGGTCACATCAGGATCATTTCCATGACTCTGCCCACAAAACAGGCCCGAAAACACAACGCACAGCAGCCACAGCTGCAGCGTTTGTCTTTGCTCACCTCAGTGAGTTTACTGTACAAGCTTTCACATTCCTCTGAGGCTCAGAGGCTCCGACCTCCAAGAACCAAACCTGGCTGAAACAAACCACAGAGAGCCGTAAATCACAGCCTTACCTGCTCTTACACAAACACTCCTTCCTCTGGTTTTCCTCTTAGATGCACTTAAAGGACGCTGTGCTTGTTTACAACTGTACACAAGCTCTTCAATCACAGACAACAAGGAGAACATTGTCCTTCTACGGCCTCCACCAAACATCTAAATGTCACAAACATTGTGGAGAGCAGGCTGAGGGCGGAGGTGTCAGCCAGAGATTTGAAAAATAATTTTTTTTTCCTTTGTAGTCTTAATTGTGTTCTGGCAGTTGTTCCTATCAGATATGATGTTTGACGTAATCGCACCAATGAAACAATGTCATGGTCGGTTTGGGTGTGGACCGCATTTAGAGAGAAACAGATGATAAATGCAAGTCCACCTTCATCAGTGCCGCCTAAGCAGATGAAATCAGAAGCTAAACGAAAATAATTAAGAAAAATTAAAGCTGAAAAATGAGGAAAACTGTCTTTATAAGCAAAACCCTGAGGAGAGCTCACAGAAGGAGCACTCACATTCATACTCAAATGATTGAGCTCAGGTTAAACATCTCAGTGTGCACAGAAGTCCCTCATTCACAGGACGGCCATCAGAATAAAGTTTGCATGAACATCGTCACACGTGCAGCGATTATTAACATCTATATGTTTGTAAAAAGATTTATAAAGTCCTAATTCTTTTCATATATATTATGATCATTTCATCATCTCCCTGCGAATGCAATGTAAAATTCTCTGTTTTTGTTTGTTTTGCGTTCAGCATCTCTTTACGTAACTTAACTGACACCAAAATTTGTATCTGCAATTTTGTTACAACTATATACAGAATGAATAATTAGGAGTAAAATCCTTATTTATAACAGATGAATGAAGCTGAAGATGTCCTGATTGTGTGAACTGCTATGTTTAGGTAAAACTAATCATTCCTGTGTTACACACAGAGAGATATTCATTTAACATATACACGAATTACTGAGAAGGCAGCTATTGGAGGGTAATTGATGAGCCTGTGGGTAAATTTGGATCAACAGCCAAGATAAGATCCCAGTGGATGACAAATGGATTCTGAAATTATTCCCCAAAGAAACTAGTACATGTCCTATGCCCCCTGAAACAGCAGCCATATGCCGGGTTTTTCCCGGTGGATATAAAGAGGTCTTGTTTACCACAGAGCCTGCAGAGCATCACCACATGAACCATCAGCCTTCAGCAGGTCTGGATTAAACAGCCTAAATCGCTTCCACCAGGGAGGATCAGGTTTCTGTCGTGGTCAGATTTCAGTGAGATTTGCTGGAAAACATCCTCTGAGCCAGAGAAGAAGTGATTAGTTTCTGATGTGAATCCAGGAATTTTCCTGCGTTTGGATTTTTGGAATGTTTTTGGAATGTTTTCACTTTTCCTAATGACGTGCCTTTACTTAAATGGAATAAAAACTGGCACCTGCCCCTCATGGTTGTATATTTAGATGCAGATCGAGATGTAGATTTGAAGCTTAACAGATGCCGTCTGTTTTGCTCCTTCAGCCTCTGTTTACTCTGTGGTCGGGCTCTGTTGACACGAACTTTGGTCTAACCGCTGAATCCTGTTAATTTCTGTTTGTCGATGTGTGTGGGGGTGTAATTTTGCTCCTGGCCAGGTGTCCTGCCGTTGCACAAACTTGTCTGCAGGTTGATGTGAACCTGAAGAATCTGCAGTCTGACTCAGACCAATTAAAGGTGAACGATGCAGCCGATAAACGGGACCATCAGCAGAACTCTGATTTGTTGCTCTTAGGCGACGGTCTGTTTCCATCACATCTCCGCCTCTTGGCAAACTCTTGGCTCAGAGTGCCGCTGCCAACATATGGCTCCTTTTACCCAGCGAGGGTTTTGTGACCAACGTAATCATTCAGTGTCATTTCGTCTCCTTTGAGTCTACTGCTTCCTTTCAGTCGGAGTTAATTGCAGTTTTATCTCCGAGGGAAACAGCACGTGTTGTTTAAATGAAGGCTTTTTGTCCAAATCGCCCGTACGGGACCGTGACTGTGTGTAACGCTTCTGATGGTTTTACATTCAGAGTCCCCGGAGGGAAGTAAACTCCTTTCTGCTCTGGACTCATTTAGCTGCAGAACAACAAAAGAAGTTGCATACACTGCAATTTAAAATGGAGGACAAATCATTTAAATTGGCTCGATCAAATGTCCGTGTACATGAACAGATGAGATAAAACTCTATTAAAGTCCTCGTGCTCTCTGAGTAACTCTCAGAAAATGGCATCTAAAAATATCGCTTCAGTCTGAATGTGCGAAACACACTACGGCATGAGTGTCTCATTGAGTACTTCTAAGCTGGATCCATGGAGGCCACCCCACAGCCTACGGGACCACAAGGATCCTTCTCCCGTAAGCACACCTGACTGTTTGGAGATGGTTTTAGCTGCCTATCGTGGGTGTGCACATTATCAGACCATCTGATTTCATCCTGCGGCTGATTGGTTTATTTAACCACGCAGAGGTTTTGTAGGTTGTGCTGCATGAGGATGTTTTTTGTATCATCTTTTAGGTACGATCCATCCAGGCAGTGGCTGCTGCTGCACGTAGAGTAATCTGACACATTTAATCTGCAGGAAAATAGAATTGAAGGATAAGAAAGCTGAGCATCAACTCAACTTTTTAAAATAGAAAATCCAGCAGCAGCTTTTCTGACTTGCTGAGCACCACAGCACTGAGCTGAACTCTGTGTTTTTACTCTTTACTTCAATTTGTCTGAAGCTGAATGATTAAAATGAGCCTCCTGGACACTGTGTGCAGCTACGCTAATCGCTGATAAGTCCTATAAGGTTTAACGTAGTCGCTCTGTACTCTCATCTCTGTTTTTCTGTGTTTTGATGGATGTTTTGTGGAAAAAGGCCTTCACAGCAGCAGCAGCATCTGGCGGCTGAAAGGACGAGCTGTGGACACTCGTCTCTGTTCCATCCCCCCTTTGCCTCTGAGTTCACCCGCTGAAAGACAAAGTAGGAGGAAGAAAGGTTTAAAAGGCCCGCACACACATCTTCTGTTCACCCATCACACACTTGAGTACACGGTCATGGAGAGGCCGTCAGCTGTCAGCTTCCAGTCAACTGATGTTTGGATTATTTCGATCATTTAAGTGAACCGGGGGCCTCTGCGAGTCCCCAGGGGGCCACGGGAGTCACCCTGATATATGATTTGAAAGCCCTGAGCTGCCAAAACATTGTTGAATTCAGCAGCAGTAATGTTGAAATATGAAAGAAGAAAATTTATGTCATTAGTTACAGTCAGAAGTATCAATCTTCCGGAAACCCAGAGCTTCAGCCGGTCAGCCTGAGACCAGCCTAGCGCATCATTGTGTTTGAGCCAAGGTCCTGAGCAATGAAAAGTCCGCTTCCTGTTCCTGTCTTTGGCTTTTTTTATGACATGTCCACGACTCAGTTACAATTAATTACTGAACCGGAGGAAGAGACATAATCTTATACCATGAATTACTAATAAGAAATCACATCTGCCCCCCGGCACGCTTCCTTAACTCATCCAACCAGATGAACGTATACATCTTTTCTCCCTCTGTGTTTATTATTTCCTGTTTTATTGTAGATGGCATTTCTTTGAGGCAGTTTGCAAGTCAGACTCTCGACTTTCATCTTTTTATGTTTGATCAGCACCTTTTTTTTTTTTTTAAGAAAAAAATGAGAGGATAAAATGTTGGTCCCAAAAAGCAAAGTTTTATTTTATCACTGTGGGATTTAAGATAAGATAAACCTTTATTAGTCCCACATGTGGGAATTTTTTTCTTCTTCCTGCTGTTCAGGTATCAATAAAATTATGTTGACAGCCCAAAGCAGAAACAGCTTACTGATAGAAAATAAAATGATCACTGTCCAGATAATCTGTCAGTCTTGGATGTTCGAGCAGCCACGTACTGAACAAAGAGTGATTACAGTCTGATGAATGAGTTACAGATATTGTTCTGTAACTCATTCATTGTTAGCATGCAGTGTGCTACTAAGCTTCGTGTTTTTAAGGAGAAGTATTCGATAAACACTGGCTGAATTCTGTGAGGAGGAAAGACTATGGGGGCGTGAGGCCTGACATGCTAACTCTGATTTATCAGCCGTTTACTCAGGACCTGCGGATAACCTCCTGCCGGCTGAACTGAAACCGCATTTGATCTGGACTCAAACCTGATTACTGTCTGTTTAGCTCTACAGCATGGCCCGAGTATTGTGAGCTGCCCCGACACCAACAAATGCTTCATCCAGTTAACCGACCATTAGCCAGACGATCAATCCATCACAGCAGCTGCAGGCATGATGGTAATGTGGGTGGTGGGAAGTGGGGGTGGACAGAGCGTGTGTGTGTTGTTGTTTGTTGATTGCACCGATCATACTGCGTTGGCTGTTTGTTTGTTGATGAATGAAGTGATGGGGTCTGTCGGTGTGATGTGACTGCTGCAGCTCTTCGTCAATGCGATCGTACCACCAGCTCCTCACTGGTTTCAGAGCATGAAGCTGAATCATGGTGCAGACTTCAGGCTGTGACAGGCATGTGGGATCCATCAGACCTGCATCTGCAGAGCTCTGCTGGAGGTTTGAGGATCTCCAGAGGAGGAAGCAGCTGCAGCGACCACACCAAACCCAACACTCAACCCCACCTGAGTCCAGGGCCACCGCCCGTCTGCCCACAGAGCCAACACAAGGACCCCAGTCAGCCAGGGCAGGAAACAGACCGCCCTCCCAAAAACCCACCCCTCCCTTCCAGGCACACTTCCCCTGATGCACAGAAAGCGGCTGCAGCCCAACCCCCTCCTCCTCCTTATCGAACTCTCACTCTGTGCTTTCCCATGGGGAGGGGGGAGCACTCATTTTGCTCCTTGGCATCTTCCTCCACAAACACCCCCCAACCCCCCATTTGTGCTGAACAATTAATCCCAAAAAAGTGCAAGAAAAAGAAGAATTGTGAGTCTGCAGCTCAGGGAAAGCAGTTTAACTTCCATTGTGGAGTAAATCCCGAGGCCGATGTGGAGGCACTGATGTTCCCGCATATCCAAACTGCATCCTCTTTGTTATCTTTGAGGTATTTCTCCTGTAACGCGTTACAAAAATGAATTATTATTATTAATTTTATTATATCTTATCAATCAATAAATCACTCAACTGAGCCTAAGTTACATCCCAGTCGCAAGGCCGGTCTGTGGTGCTACGTTTGTGTCCAGTTGTGTAGACGTTTGCCTGCAACCAACACAAAAGTCTGTGAACTGGAGAACCAACGGCACAGCTCGCGTGAACAGGAGAAGCACAGGCAGTGACTGCCGTGACTCTTCTCATTGTTTTTAACACTTTGCTCTTCTGAAAGTCAGAGTAGCACACAGATCGCTTGTTTCCGGCACTGCTCCCTGGTGACAGTGCACAGCTACAGCATGCAGACGATGTCCCGCTAACCGCCTGTAGCCTTTGTTTGACCACAACACTGTCACAAACCCACCCAAGCGTGGTTACCTTTGGTGTATTAAACTAAACTGGTCCTGATCCAGATGAGTAGTTTCAGTGTCTCCGTCATCCTCCTGTCCACGTCACAGTAAATGTGTTTCTCTGAAAACATAACTGGGAATGAAGTTTGGTTGTATGGTGAGCAGTGTGGAACTGAGTCTGTTAAAAGCTTCACCTCCTGTTTTACTGAAACAATCAGCAGTGACAATTCAGCAGCTGCCACAAATCTGTAGTTTTCTGTGAACTCAGCTCTTTCTCTGGTGCTGTTCAGACACTGTTGGGTCTTTGAGGGTTGAGTAATAAATCAAGAACAGATAATCTGCCTGGAAGCCCGTTTGCTGGAGTCATGTTTGCCATTTCTGGTTCCAGGACCATCAGTAACGTGTTAAAACAAGTCTGATCTAACTTCATCTCCTGAGGATGAATTCTTTAGATGTGAATGATGTCAGGACGTTTCCTCTGTAGCACCACCCTCATTTATATTTAGGTTCTTCCTGAAATGCAAACAAATTTTTAAATTTTCAGTTTTAATATTTAAAAAGTCTCCGGCTTCATTTAATCAATGCTCCATGTTTGGTTGCGTGCACCCACTGACCTCAGGGTCTTATGCGGCTTCGGTCCAATGCTGTGGACACGCCATCAGGGCGGCTTTACACCACCATTAACAGCATTTTTCTCCCAGTACATAGTCTGGGCCCATCAGCAAGGAGTCTGGACGTGGAGAAGCAAGCTGGCAGGCAACAGCGGCAGAACGCACAACGTCTTCCTGGATGTTGTGCCTGCTCAGAGGCACTGCAGCACCGAGGGACCTCAAACAACCTGTCAGAGAGCAGAGCAGTTTTTTTTATCTTGAAAGTATTTTCACTTTGTTGCATTTCCACCTCTTCTTGTGTTAAACTGAAACTTTAGATTCACATTGGAGCAGTCACAGAGCGGAGCCTCGTCATTTTCCTGGCAAGAAAAAGTGTGTTTTGCCAGTTGCGGCACATTTTTAAGGCCTTTGCTGAGACCACTGGACTGAAAAGTACATGGAAAATAAACGTGTGTAAAATGACACTAAAATATGAGCGCAGTTTTTCATTCAAGTTTGAATTACACCATTGAGTTTTCACTTCACGGGATGCGCGCTGGAACAGCGGCCTGATGGATGGTGCTTGTTTTCCCATCCGTCGGTTCATAAACACGATGGCCTCGCCGAGTGTCTGAAAGAAGAAAAACTGACTGCTACAGATAATCAGTTGATTAATCATTTCCTTTCTTTAATCTTTCCCACACAAAGGCTCATCTATCTGCTCTCATCAAGTCCATACTATACTTCATTAAAGATTAATAAAAGCAAAGATCAGCATATCAAGTACAAAAGCTGAGTGTTTGCAGCGTGTTTGTGTATCCACTGCTGCAGGAGCCGTCTCAGTTTCCTGCTATTTACGGCTGATCTGGACTTCCTGTTTCCTGCGTCCCCTTAGCCTCAACACAAAAGCTTCTTTGCACTGAGGAGGGGAAAAGAAAACGCCTAACATGTGATGTTAAACGCAGGAACGCTCGCTCTGAGTCATTCTCCTTCATAGGATCTCTTTTTGCACTGGCAGGACATTTTGTTTGTTTCACTCACTTATGTCTGACTCATGTTAAAATCACCAGAAACCCAAAGTGATCTGAACATATGAAGAACTGGAAACCAGCAGCTGGCAGTGGGGGAGCTCCGAATCTGAGGTCGGTCCTGGTCTGTCCTGTTTCTGATCGTAGATTGTAATGCAGACATGAGTTTTTTGGGGGGGGGTTTCTGCACGTGCAGCAAAGCAGCATCAACTTTACGTAAAGATGGGCGTAGCCAATCGATGCTGCATTCTGTGTAAAGTTCAGCAGGGGACTCCTCTCACAAGTCTATGAGAAGATGAGCCTCCTGCTTATCTGATCTTTGAGCTCAAAAACACTTTGGTCAATCAATAATTTCAGGGTGGTGATGGGGCGGAGCCTATTGCAAATGTCCCAGTGGGAGAGACAAAGTAGACTCTGGACACGCTGGCGGTCCATCACATTCACACCTGCAGCCAATTTACAATCATCAGCGAGGCAAACAGAGAAACAGACAGCTGGTCAGTGGGTTCAAGCCTTCTTCCTGCCAGCTGTGGATTCAGTGAAGTTAATTTTGGAAGTGAAAGTCACATTAGACTCAAACACCAAGGGAGGATTTAGGCCTTGAGACTGACAGGTTGTAACCGTATGCAGTGTCAGATCCACAGTGGCTAAAACACCCAGCATGAAGCTTCACAAGCGAACTTCATGAACCAACAGGAGGCTTCATAGCAGCCATGTACAGTTTTTGGTTGCAGCTTATCCTCAGCTGATGGTGAAGCAGAACTTTTTTTTTACTACCTACAAACCCGCACAGGTCTCACTCTCTTTCTACTCCAACGAAGTCAGGAGACATTTTCCCTGAATTTCTTTGTGTCTTTGTGGCCGTTGGAAAGTGTGTACAGTGCATTTTGGCTTCCATCACAGTGAACGCTGAACATAAAGTAAAATTACATTTGTAAAACGTAAAAACAAAAGTCGAAAAGCTCAGCTGTAAACATGGGGGTGGGGTCTGCGTGTCTCGTCACGAGTACCAGATAAAGAAACTGTTGGACCTGCGTTTGGTGAACAGGTGGCATTCCTCCAAACGGACTCAGAGGAGATTCAATCTGCACTTTAATCAGATTCTTTTCAATGCACATCTGATGAATTCCTCCAATATGGCAGCCGTGCGCCTGCCTGAGGAGGGGTGAGGGTGTGTGTGGGGGGTGGGGTGTCAGAGGGATCTTTGTTTTGGAAGAATGTGAGAGGTTGCCCGTGGCGGGGCGTCCTGTGAGCCGGCAGATGGCCGATGGGACGAGCAGACAAAAGTCTCCGGCAGACTTTTCTCCTTTCAGAGCTTCTCGTCTGAAGAGCAAGACACAAAACAGCACCGGCTGGAGGGGGAGCTGGGAGGAGGGAGTGATGGGTGAAGGCCCACCATCATCATACATAAGTCATTCCTCTGAAATATTCCGTGTCCTAAACTCTGTCAGTGTCCTCAACCAGAAAACATCTTCAGTCCTTTTTTATATGCCTTAAAATGAGCCATGAAAGATCTTTCGGAGTCTGGGATGCTGGATGTCTCTGAGAAGACTTTATAGTCGCTCCTCCTCTGCGTTGGAGGGCGTTTTATGCTTTAACCCACCTGGATGGCTGAAGGCTCACTTTAGCTTCACATAAACATGAAATTATTGTGATTTTTAAATGAAATGTGCATAACTTAGATCCTAAACAGTGACTTTATCATCTTCCTGTTTCCTCATAGCGTGCCATTGGGTTTAAGGTTAGCAAAGATGCTCAGACCTCAGTGTGTGGATAGATTAGCTAAAGTTTCCCTTAATGAATTGTTTCAGATTAAAAGAAACGTTTTAAAGGACAGAAGCCATGATGAGCACAAACATTAGTCCTTTGAAGATTCATGTGCTGTGAGATGCAGTACCTTTAAGAATTGGAGGTTGAAGGCCGGATTGATCCGATTTTTCTGATCTGATCGGGTCTTGACCTCCTCAGACTCAACCCAGGGAGCACTGACGGACGGAGTGTTTGCTCATGAAGCTCCAGGACACTGACACCTGGTGGGAGTTTCCTTAAATCCTTTCTTCTCTCTCTAATTAAACTTCTCTCGCCCCTCTTCATCTGTCAGCTGTCGAGGTTTCTCTTCACCACTTTCCGTCTCGGTTCAGTGGATAAAGGTCAAAGGTCAGCGATGCGTTTGGGAGCCAGCAATGCGTTGTGTTGCCATCTTCTCTCCTCTCTCCTCCCCCGTCCTTCCTCCGCGGCGCTGACCTGTGGGACAGGATGGGTGTCGTCCTGCCCGAGCTAGCTATCTGTACACACTGAAAATCAAGTCCACCATGACCTTTGACCCTTCCCGTGCTCACTCAGGAAATAAGTCCAGGGAACTCTTTATCGCACTGCAGAAGACGATTAATGATTTCGTCTTTTCTGGGGGGGTTTTAGACACTGCTGACGAGTGCAGCTGCAGTGGAAATCAGAGCAAACACGGCAGGAAAAACGAATCCTGGAATAATAATTAATAATAATCTCAAACAGAAAAAGCTTTCCTCTGCTCACAGATGTTAGTAGCTCGTTGCTGCCTCACTGCACACAGGCCGGCTGTTAGATCCCAAACTGTTGGCTCGTTTCATTCACACAGTGTTTTTGTCATGCAGACTGAAGCGATGCATCTCTGGGCAGTTTGGGGATCATGCTCACGTGATGAATCGTTCTGTTGAGTGGGCAGAGGCATACTCTCCTGTGGAAAACAGTCTTTTTCACATGTTTGGAAATATAAACATCACACTTTGATTCTCTGGTTGGTTTTTGTACAACGGGCTTTGATCTACTTTTGCTGTGAGTTAACACAAAGATCTCAGCAGCTCTCCAATCAAACATGACTTGTGTAATGATTTTTCTATGTGCTGCGTCTGTGGGTCTGAGTATCGTTGGAGCTGAGGGGGAAGGTGATGGTCATATTAATCAGTAAGGACTGTAATTGTCACTGGCATCCCTTCGGTTTGTTGTCCCGCTGTAGGAATGTGCGGCCAGATCTCTGGGATTACGCTGAGGGTCTTAAAATTGCTCCTCTGTGATGACCTCAGCCTGCTGCTCGGTTACAAAAAAAATGTCACAGAGAAAACAGAGAGAAAACGTGGAGAAAATTGGTCAGCATTCCTGAAAACCAAAATAAACAGAGGACGGAGCGGGGTCTGGTTTTCAGGAAGAAAAAAACTCAAGCGGAGACGTCATGGAAGGGGAGGAAGGGAAGGGGTGGGGTGGGTGAGTCGTACAAAAGGAAAGTCTGTGTGCTGACCGGGCCCCTCCCTCTCTCTGTTCTCCTCCAACAGATGAGCCAGCGCGAAGAAAGAGGGCGATCCACATAGACTAACACAGAGGGGGAGGGAGAGCGCGAGAGCAGCCGGAGCAGAGAGCTTCATTGGAGACGAGAGAGAGGAGGCAGCAGGACGGAGGATGAAGACGCTGCCGAGGGTCTGAAACACAAACAGGTAAAAAAACTTTATTCATTTATAAAAAAAACTTTGTTTCAGAAATCTGTCCTCGTTAGATTAGTTCCTTTAAAGGTTTACAAGAAATGTCACATTTAGATCTCTCCTCTTCACTTTCAGTGAAAATTGATTTTTCTGATTGTCCGACAGTCAAAGCTCTGCTGAGCAGTTTCATTAGTCTTCTGAGTCTCAAATTAAAACTCCAAATAGTCCTGCTGTTTTCTGCATTTTTAGTTTGAGCAGCAGAGCAGTGTGAGCAAAGCTGTTTGCAAGAAAATTTCAGAAAGTTAAAGTTTTAAATGTTGTGAATGAATGTGTGAAAATGAATAGTGGGTTGCACAGAATAAAGAAGAAAACATATGTGAAGCACATCAGCAGTCATGGTGTCAGAGCAGCAGGTGGTACTGTGAGCTGTGCAGACTCGGTTCAGGGTCAAGGGTCATGCTGCAGGCTCAGGTCACTTCACTCAGAGAACGTGTAAAAATGGTTTGACACACAGCAAATATAAGCATGTTGGTCCAAACTTAGTTTCCTTGGTTCACCTGAAGGCAGCTATTAGGTTAGCTGTGTGCTAAATGTCCGTGATGAAGCTCCATCGTATGTTTGGTGTTCAGTCAGATCACATTTTTAAAGGTCTTTGAGGGTGATAAAGGAACTGGTCATGTGACTTAACATCAGCAAACAGCAGTGTGTATACATCCAGCTGGTGCACTGAAGGTCTTCAGGATGTCGCATTGATAGAAACGGTGCAGTGATCATTTCTGTGTGTGTGTTTGAGCAATCGTCGTCTTTTGATGGTTTGAAATTTGCATTTTAAAGCCTCAACACTTGTCTGTAGAGCTGGTTTGACCGTTTGGATGACCTCCGTTATCGGCTCATGCTAATACAGCGAGCTGTCCACAGGCTTTTAGCATGGGAGGCACTGACTCATGGCTGAAGCCGGCCTCAAGTGGCCACCAGAGGAACTGCAGCTGGACGGCTGTCTTACAAATATCATCTGCAAATCTACCAGAAAATAAATATGTGACATCTGGGTAATATTGCTGTGATAAGGAAGAAGGAAGTTTAGATGCTTCAATTATTTTGTGCATTTGAGAATGGACTGCAGTAAATGAGTGAATGTTTAATGTGTGTTCACAAATGTGGGGTCACTGAGTCTTTAACTCATCTTTGGCTTCCAGTGGGACTGATTGTAATACTGCCCATAGTATTTGATGTAGTATTTTAGTACTGACTGTAGTATTTAATGTAGTATTGTGTGTAGAAATCTCTGTTGCTTTAATACATGGTGTGTGTGTGTGTGTGTGTGTGTGTGTGT